TCTCTCTCTCTCTCTCTCTCTCTCTCTCTCTCTCTCTCTCTCTTTCTTTCTTTCTTTCTTTCTTTTTCTTGAGATAGGGTCTCACTATGTAGTTCAGACTGGCCTTGAACTCACTACGTAGCACAGGCTGGCCTCGAACTTGCAGCAGTCTTCTTGCCTCAGCCTCCTGAGTTCCGGGATTACAGGTGTGTGCTACCATATCCAGGCCTTTCTTTTAGCTATTGTTTTCATTGTGTATCTTTTGGTCTTTTTACTTTTAACTTACCTGTATAGTTATCATTAAAGTGGTTTGTTATATGTAGCTGATATCTGGGTCTTGCTTTTTTTTTTATCTGATCTGGTGATCTCAGTCTTTTATTTGGAAAATGTAGATTACTTACATTTAGTATAATTATTGATGTAGTTACATTCATTTACCATCTTGATCTTTGTCTCATCTATTCTTATTCCTTACTGGATTCTTTTGGCTTAATAGACTATGCTAAAATTATTCCATTTTATCTTATAGTACAAGGCCATAGTACAAGACTCTTACAAGAATGTGTTTTAGCCCTCCCATCATTTGTGCTATTGTTGTCATTTATTTATTTTTATGTTATACACTCCATGACACATTGTTAATTATTTTTTTGTTCTTTTGTTTTGTTTTTGTTTTTTTTTCGGTACTGGGAATTGAACTCATGACCTTACGCTTGCTAGGCAGGCACTGTGCCGCTGAGCTAAATCCCCAGCCCCACATTGTTAATTGTTTTAAATAATTACCTTTTCTGGTGTTTGCATGTGTCTGCATATGAGTGTGTGTGTGTGTGTGTGTGTGTGTGTGTGTGTGTATCTTTCTGTCTGTCTGAGTGTGTGTGTCTGGAGATTAAAGCCAGGGCCTTATTCATATTATGTAAGTGCTATAGCACTAAGCTACTCCAGTCCAAATAATCACCTGTTAAAGAGGTTAAGAATAGCCAGGCACAGTGGTATGCACCTGTAATCCTAGCACTCTTGAAAAGCTGAGGAAGGAAGATCATAAGTTTGACCCCAGCTTGGGCAACTAAGTGACTTAGCGAGACCCTGTCTCAAAATAAAAAAATTTAAAAAGGGATTGGGGTGTAGCTCGGTGCAGAGACCCTGGATTCAGTCCCCAATATTGGGAAACAAAAGAAAACCAATAAAAAAAGAAATACATACCAGTGGAACTGTACTTCATTATAAAGAAAAATCAATTCTGAACAAACAAAAGACTTAAAAGCTGTTAGTAGAAATTATTGATGAATGGCTTTTAGATTCTGGAGATAGGAAAATGTCTCTTAAGATACAGAGATATAAAAATATTATATATAAAATAGTTTGGTAAATTAGACTGTGGAGATTTTTAAAATTTCAGAAACCTTTAAATAAAGTAAAAACACTAGTGACAAATGGGAGAACATACTCACATTATACACAAACAAAACAATTATGGCAAAAGCATATAGAAACCAGGTATGGATGTATATGCTTGTCATCTCAGGTACCTGAGGTGAGGCAGGAAAATTGCTTGGGCCCAGGAGTTTTGGGCCAGACTGGGCAATATAACAAGACCTTATCATAATAAAACAGAACCTGTAAAAAAAATAACAAAACAACCCCTAGAAATCTATGAAAAGAAGCACAAAAATTCAATATAATAGTAAGTTAAACACATGAATAAATATTTTAGAAAAAATGGCAGACAAATGACCAATAAATATACAAAGAGGTGTTCAGCCTCATTAGTAACTAGGCAAGTGTATATTAGGACTACTCTGGAATCTTTTCACACTTATTCCATGGGCAGAAGTGAAGAGAATGTTTTTATATACCACTGAAAAGGTTATAAACTGGTGCAACCACTCTGACTTGCAGTTTGGCGTTGTCTCCTGAGGCTGAATATGCGCATCTTAAACCTTGCAGTTTCACTTTCGGGCATGTACTCAGGAGAATCTCTTACATGTGTGACAGGAGGTATAAACATACAAATATTTATAACAGGCTTGTTTAGAATGCATAGCTAATACCTAGAAATAACCCCAATGCCATGAATGAGAAAACAGATTAAAAACAATGACAGTGAATGCAAACCACAAGATGCTGTATGCAGTAGACTAAGTGACAAAAATATATAAATATATAGCTTTGTGGATGAGACTAATGTACTATTAAGTGTAAAAGTAAATTGCAGAAAGTCTCATTTGGCATACCCTCTTAGTTTTATGCAATTAAAATAAAAATTCAAAGGTTGCATATAAGCACAAAAAACAAAACAGTAGTCATAAAAAGAAAGGCAGCTAGGCATTGTGTCATGTGCTTATTGTCCCAGCTACTCAGGCAACTGAAGCAGGAAGATTGCTTGAAGCTAGCCTGAACAACACAGTGAGACCCTGTCTCAAGACAAAAAGAAAAGCGAGGGAATCATGAACATGATTAGTATAACTTTTGGGGGTCAAGGAAGCAGGAAGATAGAATGGAGGCAGAGACTATAAGGTTTGAATTAAATTATTATCAAGGTGTTACCTTTTGGTAGGCCTTTACTGTGGAATTAATATTGGAACCTCTTTAGACCACACATATATAACCTGTCACACTGCTTTACAATCAGTCCTAGGTTTTCATCTTCTTTCATATTTGCTTATTCATTCACTGTATTAGCACATTAACTTTGAAAAACTTGGAGCTTTCTGAAAATAAAATGCCCCCATAAAAACTGACACTGTAATTGTCTTCAAAGATATTTGAAACTATGTTGGAAGTAATTTTATTAGGAGAAATAAGATTATGTCATCCTTTTGAAAGTAATGGTCCTCTTTTGTACATACAACTTTTGGCATATTTGTTAAAAGTAAGTCTTATTTAAAAGTAATCTTGCCAGGTGTGATGGCGCACGCCTGTAATCCCAGCACTCAGGAGGCTGAGGCAGGAGGATCATCACGAGTTTGAGACCAGCCTGGGCTACAAAGTGAGCTCACAGTCAGCCTGAACTGCATAACAAGATCCTGTCTCAAAAAGACCAAAAAATAAAAGAACAAAAATTTAAAAAGTGATCTTGAACATAGTCTCTGTTGAATGCATATCCATCTGAGCCTGACTGTAGATGATTCTGTGATTTGATTTGTATTAAATAGACTTTTTTTGTTATTCTCTGTCATCAGGTATACAATGTTTACATGGCAGGGAGGCAGCTGTGTTCTAAGCGGTACCGAGAGTTTGCCATCCTACACCAGAACCTAAAGAGAGAGTTTGCCAACTTTACATTTCCTCGACTTCCAGGAAAGTGGCCATTCTCATTATCAGAACAACAGTTAGATGCCCGACGTCGGGGTTTGGAAGAATATCTAGAAAGAGGTAAGCCAACCCATGAAACTCTCCAAACCTGTGTAACCATACATTCCAGCTATATAGTGTGACTCCTAAACTGCATAGCTCTGTTTTCTAAAACTCAGTGATGAAAGTAAGTCAAGTTTCTGACTGTAAGCATTAAATGAGCTGAATTTTGAAGGCCAGACTGAAATGTCTTAGTGATTAGTAGCTTGTTTTATTGACTTGCTGAGCACTGAACAACAGAAAAATGAATAGTTTTTGATACATTTACATTATTTGCCAACTAACAAATACAAGCAGATGTGGCAATATACAGAATTGATTTGGGAATTAATTGGGAAATATTTAAGATATTTTCATTAAAATGATTGTTGACTCATTGACATATCCTACAGGAAAACTATTTATTCCAATTATTTGTAGAAAAAACCCCAAGTATTCATAGGTTTGCTGAGTTGTAGGTAAAGTCCCCTTGTTTTATGTAGACTTTAAATAAAATGTTCAAACTTACTTGTTACCACAGGACTTACAAATGATACGTTGGAAACCTGTGGGTACAGATGCTGAAATACTTGTTTCTCTGGAAAGGCAGAGAAATGACAGAGATCTCCTAAAGAAGATAATCCATCTTGTGGCTCAGAAGAAACCTTGCCTTGCTATATGATAGAGTTAAATAACTTGCTAGGTGTGGAATAGGTTTTTCTTTAAAATGTTAATTTTAATAGAATGTTAATAGAATAACGGTTTTATGTAATGTTTAGTAATTTTGTGTCCTTATGTCCTATGTAAGAACTAATTGACCTAGTTGAAATTTTTGAAACTTTGATAGGGAGCTTTATCACTGAAGAAAAACCATTTCTCCCATAGAAGGTAGTGGAACTCTTCATCTGTTTTTAGCTTTTCCTAACATGGACTGGCCTGTGAATGCAGCCCTAGGGAAATGAGCAAGGGTACAATATTTTTGTTCAATCAAATGAAGTAAAATCATCGTGTAATTTACCATCCTCATGGGAGTATCTGGAAATTAACTTTCTTAGATTTAGACAATTAGCCGCCTACTTTCCATCCTTTTTCTCTCTCTTTCTCTCTGTTTCTCTCTATCTGTCTCTGTCTGTCTCTCTCACTCACTCACAGTTCTTTTGAAGCTAAAATCAGTAAAGTGAAATAATGTGCTCAGCTTCATACTTATTTACCTACCCATTTTTTTCCCACAGTGGTTTTACATATTTATTGTTTTCTGACTGACCTGTTCTTAGGCCTAATAGATATGTTTCCTTTTATGTTATAATTTTATACTTGGTTTATTCTTTTGTTTTGGTTTGGTTTGGTTTGGTTTGGTTTTTCTCCGGTACTGGGAACCGAACTCACGACCTTGTGCTTGCCAGGCAGGCGCTTTGCCGCTGAGCTAAATCCCCAGCCCCTATACTTGGTTTATTCTTAATCAACCTTTTCTTTCTACTGCCTCTTTCCCTCTGTGATCTGTTTTATTTTGTTAAAGGTCACAGAAGACTATGAAGTTAGATTTACTACACTTTTATAATCCCAGGACTTGGGAGGCAGAAATAGGAAGATTGCTGTGAGTTTGAGGCCAAACTGGGCTACATAGTGAATTCAAGGCCAGCCTGAACTTCAGAGTAAGACTCTGTCTCAAAAAAACATAAAAAATTAAAAACCTCATATGTCAGGGATTTGCCTGCTACTGGTAATTTAAAATTAGGCCTTGATGTGTCTTGACTTTGTATTCTTGATTACAAATATAGGACTTTGTGTCAGATTCTATGTTTCTTTTCCACAGTTTGTTCAATACGAGTCATTGGTGAGAGTGACATCATGCAAGAATTCCTGTCAGAATCAGATGAGGTAGGTGAATACCCCCTTTAGTGACTATTTTCCTCTTAGATCCTTGTGGGGGAGAAATTATTAAAGATAGTGATTATGTATGGATTACAGTAAGCTCTCCAGATGACTATATTTCTTCTACTTTGTTTTTGTTATGTGTCCTGCTTGCTGTCCTTTAAGACCACCAGAGCCACCTTCTCTTTGCAGCTCTCCCTGATGATTCCAGTCATCAGTTTTTCATTCCACCAAGACCTTCCATAGCCAATACTCAATTATCACCTTATTGCTGTCTCATTCTCTTATTTTTATACATATGATGCAGTAGGTTTGTTACTTTGTATTTTTAGCTTACAAGAGTTTGGGCTCTGGATCATCTTTATATTTCCAGTGCCCTATAACAATATCAAGCATGCTGTAGGTGCTTAATAAATATTAATTAAATATGTCTTGTTTTCTCAACTAGATTAGAAGTTTCTAGGGATCAGGGATGTAGTTTAGAGGTTATAGCATGCATGGCAAGTGCTAGGTCCTGAGTTTGATTCCTAGCACCAAAAAAAAGGGGGGGGGGCAGTTTCTTGCAGACCAGGACTTATAATAAAAGTATAATAATACTTCCCTATCCATGATTTTGGTTTCTCTAGTTTCAGTTACCTGTGGTCAACCATGGCCTGAAAATATTAAATATAAAATTCTAGAAATAAATAATTCATGAGTTTTAAATTGTGTGCCATTCTGAGTAGTGTGATAGCCTCATGTTACACTTGGGATCTGAATTGAGCATACTTACTCTGTATGTCACCTACTTGTTAGTCACTTAATAGCTGAATCAGTTATCAGAATGACTGCTCAATGCTTATACTCAAATAACTTTTATTTTACTTAGGAATGTTTCCAAGGACAAGAGTAGTGATGCTAGCAATTCAGATACATCCAAGAGGAAGCTCCTTTAGTAGGAGTGCTTCCTTTTAAGTTCACAAGGTAAAATTCATCAGCAATAAGATTGCAGGCGTGGTGGCACACATCTGTAATCCCAGCAAAAGTCTGAGCCCAGCCTAGGTGACTTAACAAGACCCTCTCAAAATACCAAAGGGGGGAAAAAAATTATACGTGAGGTTGACGTTGGTAAAATCTATGGTAAGAATGGATCACCTGTATGTGAGAAGGAAAAACAAATTCTTGCTAGTTTTGCTATCATACCTCAGACCACAAAAGTTATAGCCACTCTGAGTGATAAGTGGTTAGTGAAGGTGGAAAGAGTATTAAATGACAGGGCTCAGTACCATCCCTGGTTTCTGGCATCCACTGAGTCTTTGAACATATTCCCAGTGGTTAAAGAGGGACCACAGTGAGGGTGGTTTTAGGCAATGAGTAATAATTTTTCAGAGTGTTAAATGAAAATGGACTTGCCAGGGATGTAGCTCAGCGGCATAAGTGCCTGCCTGGCAAGAGCAAGGTCCTGAGTTGGATTCCCAGTACCAAAAATAAATAAATAAATAAATAAATGAAAATGGACTTATCCCTACATGGCTATTTCTCTGTAATAAAAGTCACAAGGCCAAAAATCTGTTAGAGAAATGTGTTAAATAAGAGTTTTCTTTTTGCTTTGTTCTCATGGTACTGAGGATTGAACGCAGGCCTTATATAACCTCCACAAGTGCCCTGACACTGAATCACACCTCTAGCCCTAAGTATTTCTTTAAAACAAGTAAAACTTGTTTACTCTGCTAGAAAATTGACTGTCATACTAATTCATATCCCAGAGTCTCACTGATTTTCCTTTCAAAGATGTCCTGATTATTCCAGGGTTTAGAAAGGAACTTTGGATACCCTTGAGTTACATACCTTAACTACTGAAACCAGAGAATATTTGTTGGGGTTACTCCTTTCAGTTTTTTCTCACTTGTGAGTTCTGAATGGGGTGATGGCCGGAAACCCACGACCTCATCTGTGTGTGACCTAGACTGCTTCACACAGCGTCTGTATTGAAATGTGAACATATTGGCTTCCAATATGTTTCTTTTTCCTCTGTACATCTGAAAGGTTAACTTCTGCCGCACCCTGTAGTTAGCTTTATGACTTGTAAATATATTAACTTTTAAAGTGTCATTCCCCCCCACTTTTTATTGGAACTAGCTTCCTCTCTATATGTGTTTGGATTACTGTTTAGCTAGCATGTTTGGAGGAGAGTGGGAATGTACTGGGTCATAAATTCTTTCTCTGTGTCTTTTCCCCAGAACTATAATGGTGTATCTGATGTAGAGCTGAGGGTAGCGTTACCGGATGGAACAACAGTTACGGTCAGAGTGAAAAAGAACAGTACTACAGACCAAGTATATCAGGTAAATTAAACTTGAACAAGTTAAATTCAACTCGTATGGTATGAAGTGAAGAAAGATGGAATGAGCTAATATATTTATTAAATTGTTATTATTAATATCAAAGTACTTTGTCCTCTTGAAAGATATAATATCTGAGGGTGTAGTGGTTATAATTAACCCTGCCTTTTTAGTATAAAAAATGTTACTAACATATGTGAAATTAGAATAGTAAAGTGAATCTCCATATACTGTGTGTGTGTATGTGTGTGTGTGTGTGTTAGGCCTTAATATGTTAGGCAAGGGCTCTATGTATCATGGAGCTACATCCTCAACACTCATCAATCACATTTAATAATTACCAAGATTTTGCCACATTTGTGCCATGTATCCTTTTTTTAAGCCTTTTAAACGAAACCCAGCTTATGAAGACCTATCTGTACTTTAGAATGTATCTAAAAGGTATCTGTGTTCTTCTTACATAACCATAATGCCATAAAAAAAAGCAAACCTAAAAAAAGCACTATTTTCTTGGTATTAACAATTACCCATAGTCAAATTTTTCCAATTGTTTAAAAGTAATTTTTTATGTCCGATTTAAAATCCATATCTAAACAAGATTTATACCACATTGTGTTTTTATGTTTGTTTTAATATAGAGTAGTCCCCCTTCCCAACTTTTCCCCCTTTGGTGCCATTGTTTTGTTACTAAATTTGGGGCAGTGTCCTGTGGAATGAATTTATTTGTTCTCTTGTAGTGTCATTTAATATGTTCTTCTGTCTTTTTCTCTCTATATATATACATTTTTGTTCTGTTTTGTTAGTTTTTGTTTTTTATCTTTTTGAGACAGGGTCTCACTATGCAGTTCAGGCTAGTCTTAAGCTTACTTTATAGCCCAGGCTGACCTTGAACTCACAAGGATCCTCCTGCCTCAGCTTCCTGAGTGCTAGGATTACAAGGTGTGCACCACCATACCTGGCTTTGTTTTTGTTTTTTTTTTTTTTGAGACAGGGTCTTGCTATATAGTCCAGGCTGGCCTTGAACTCACTGTGTAACCCATGCTGCCCTCCAACTTGTGGCTGTTCTGCCTTAGCCTCCCAAGTGCTGGGATTACAGGCATGCATCACCATCCCCACTCCTTATATTTTCCATGAATGGAAATTTGTTCTAGAGGCTTGATTAGATTCAGAGACTTCCTTTTTGATATAAGTACTTCATAATAGGTACTGTATACATAATATTCCTTCTCTAAAGGCAGGATGCAATATCTGGTTACTGCATGTTTAGTGGCAGTGAGATTAATCAGTAGGTGTGACCTCTCTGGAGTAAAGTCATCCCTGCCATCTTTTATCAAATGAGTATATCCATTGATGATTGTTATCTTAAGTAATTTCATAAAAATTGCAAAGTGCTGGTTTTCTAATAGCATTTTCTGTAAATAACTTTTTCTTATAAACTAAGGTTAATTAGTTATCCTGAAATGCATTTTTTAAAAAAAATTATAACTTTCATTCTTTCCTTTTATTACCAATTCTCAGAGTAAAGAGTACCTTTTACTTGATTCCAATGATGTCCAGTGTTGTATTTTACTTTGTAGTATCATATTTTTAAATTAAGTGATTTTTATTAACTTTATAAAAATATGGTTTAATCAATAGCATATATTATTGTTTTGATGTTTAAACTCTTATCGCTTGACAGTAGAAGCCCCATCATATCTGTTCTTTTGTATACTTTTGATGCAATCCATTAGTTTATGATAGCATCCTAGTCTTTTGCTATGACGAGATATCTCGGACTCACCTTTATACATTTCCTACCATAGATCTAGAATAAGACATTTCCTCAAGGAATTCTGATTCCTCTTAGTAAGAGATGGTATTTAATACATTTCCACTGGTTTGAACCTTCAGTGGTACATACATGACTGTCCCACTAGGCAGTTTGTACCACTCATGGTACTAAAGGCTTTAATCACTTTTATCAGTCTTTTTACTAATAAAATTAATAAAAAGTCACCTGATGAGACAGTCATGCACGTACCACCAATGGTTCAAACTTCCTGGCAGTGAAACATACAAATTACAGCCCTGTTAATTTGGATGTGTTAAAATCATGTGGGCACTGTGGCATAGCATTGTTTGTAGGTAGGCCTTTTCATTTACCTTCAGTCCTAACTTGATCAAGATTTTCAGGGATGCAAGAAGGTTTCTGAGTATCAATTCTTATATCTCCTTTGTTTTTTTGTAGCAAACAAAAAAATCTATCCCTCATACTTTGCCAGATACTGTGGCAAAGGATATTGTAAGATACAAGGCAATTTTGAAATTATACAATGAGAGCTGGGCAGAGTGGTGCATACCTATAATCCCAGCCCTTGGGAGGCTGACTCAGGAGGATTACTGTGAGTTTGAAGCAGACCTGGGCCACATAAATGAGTTCAAGGCCAGCTTGCACTACACAGTGAGACTCTGCCTCAAAAAACAACAGTAAAAAGAAATTGTACAGTGAGATTGTAACTACAAGAAAAGTAATTGTTTTTACAGCTTGCTGATGTTTTTTGTTTTCTTCTGTTTTTTCAGTATTTCTTTAGCAAGGTGTAGGGTTTTTCTTTTTTTAATACTTTCCCTCAATCCTGTTACTGAGACTTCTAGCTATAGGCCATTTTGTAAACCTCTTTAATTTTTTTTCATTTTCTAAACCTTGATAGCATTTCAGCTTCTATACAGTACAATATAGAATGATAATTTAGAACGCTTAAAATTTCCAGCTCCTTCAGCAATGTGATGATATGTGAGCAAATGTGGGAAGGATATAATCATACTTGCTTCATGAAGTACTAATATGCAGAAGTTTTATCTTGTTCAATTAATATTAGGATTGATCTTGATTTTGTTACTGCTTTGTGTTTTGTTACTGTGTAATTCAATTCTCATATATCTGCAAATGGACTCTTTTTTTTTAAAATTTATGTTAGTACCTTAGTTCTTACAGAGAAGAACTGATCCTTGTTTAATATGTATCTTGTCACAACATTTTGATATTTTCATATGAATATTGATGGTAATTTTTAGGAAATGAAGGTGCCTAATGTCCCTGGCTTGGAACATAGATCATCTGAAAAACAGAATGTCTGTGTGCTCCTGTAATCGCAGCTACTGGAGGGGCTGAGGCTGGATGGTCACAGATTTTAGCCCAGCCTGGGCCATTTATTAGGACCCAGCCCCTAAACAAAAAGTATAAAAAGGGGTAGGGATATATCTCAGTGGTAAAGCACTCCTGGGTTCAATTCCCTATACCTTTAGAAAGAGGAAGCCTGAATAAAGTTAGCAAGCAGTATTTTAAGCTGAATAATCTAACTGGCATTGAGATTCATGCCAATAGCCTCAGTTACTTAGAAGGTGATTATAGGAGGATTGCTTGAGGTCAGGAGTAGCCTGGGCAACATAGGGAGTTCCTATCACTTAAAAAAAATGAAATATATACATATTCTCTATTGATGTCTTTTTTTTGATATTCTATATAAATGTAGACTATGTGAAAATGAACATTTAAAAATTTGTTTTCTTTTTTAAGATTTGTCCTATTGTTATCAAGTACTTTTCTTTTAAGTGGTGTTAAAAGAAAGAGCTTTGTGAAGACATTTCAAAGAGGAAAGCTGATATTAAAGAGAAACTGTTACCAGCATGTATTAGCAGGGAGAAACTCATAGAGATGAGCTGTGTGGGTCAAATGCAAGTGTCTTTTTCCTTTGCTTTCATGCATCTGTATGCATATGTGCATGTACACTGAAGAAAGATAATCATGGGGCGGGGAGTGTAGCTCAGTAGTAGAACACTTGCCTAGCATGTGCAGCGCCCTGGGTTTTGAGCCCTAGCACCAGATAATGAATGAAAGAATGAATGAGATGGCAATGAGCCCTGATAGTTTTTATGAAACTAAGATGGCAAACCTTTCCCTTCTCCCTCTCCCTCATACATATACCTGTGTTTCCCAACAGCATTGTCTGAGTTAGTTTTCCTAAACCATTCTATCCTGTTTGAACTTTAGGCTATTGCAGCAAAGGTTGGCATGGACAGTACAACAGTGAATTACTTTGCCTTATTTGAAGTGATCAATCATTCCTTCGGTAAGTGCTAATGGCTAATATTGAGTTTGGAGAGTATTTTAATCTACTCTTGTTGGACAAAAACTTTTCCTGGAGAAGAGTTTGAAGACAGGGGACGATCCCACTTAGCAAATCCTGCTAAGCCTGGTCATAAGGATGCCTGATCATTGTTGATCCTTTTTCCTCTTTTGTCAGCACCTACTGGTACATCCAGCACTGAATCAGATATTTTCATGTGATACTTTTAAATCAGATGTTCAGAATTTATATATTCCAGTGAAACAGCTTTAAAAGGAGATGTTTTATTTAGACACATAGTTTCAGATTCCTTCATGCTTTTTGTAAAGATTTTTAAGACTAGTTTTTTGTTTTTAGAAGTTAGAAAAAGATACTTTGTATTGGTGATACTTTGTATTTGTTTTAATGCATATATTTAAGGTTCTGTATGAAAATTTCCTCTTCCTAGAAAATTTTATTGCATGGCGACAGGAAATCTCTCTTGTATAAAAACTGGGGGTGGTAGCCTCATTGGTTGCACTGCAACCACAAAGGGAGGCAGTCTGAGGGCTTTCTCTGTTGACATGGATTTTCTGTAGTACATGGATATTCTTCTGTACGTCATGTGTACATAAGCCTAAGATCAGAAATGGCATAGATAATATTGATTGATCAGACCTTCTTCATCCCAGCAGGAGAGTTTGGCAGATTTTAGTTGTCTTGCCGTCCCAGGTTTAGAGAAAGAAACTTTGATTCCCCTGAAGCAGCCATATTCCTGTTATATTTTTCTTCCCAACTCTCAACAGCCTAACTAATCAGATATAAATTATGTTAGAAAGGATTGCTAGGGTGCCAGGATACTTGGATTCTAATCTTACGTTCTTCTAAGCTTTAGTTTCACTTTCTATAAAATGAGTACTATGAAATATGTTTTTTGCAGTGTTATAAAGCCAAGTATATTTAATAAAAAAGTAAAGCCAAGTATGTGTTAAGAGAGGAAAACTTGGGAGAGAAAAGAGAAAATAAAAGTGGTGGTGATTTATCCTGTTGTGTACTGTTAGGAAGAAGTATCCTTACTCTGAAGACACTTTTCACTTTGATGAGTGCCTGAAGGCTTGGGGATGACGAGTAGGAAGAGCTTTTCAGCTCTTAACCATAAAAGCAGTTTATTGAGAATGCCCATAGCTAGGTAAGAACAGAGACTTGTGCTGAAGAGTGGATATCAGCTGTAATTTATCAGATAATGGATCGGGTATTTCAAACTGAATTTGGAGTTAGCGTCATCTGCAGTCATCATGTTAACTGAAGGACCTGCCTTTCAAGTGGTAGATTTCAGTCGGTTGGAGGCCAGACTGGCTGTAGTCATAGTGAGAAGGGATAGACTCGGCTAAACCTGGGTATTTTGTGCTCCTTAGGCAAGAGCCCCTTGATGAATTTGACCTGTGCTCTATTTAATGATGATCTACCATATTTGATCTGCCTTCAATAGTTTATATTAGGGAAATTCTTTGTATTTTTTTTTCACTACAGCTTTCTTTATTTTGTCTTTTCTGTAGTACGTAAGCTGGCACCTAATGAATTTCCTCATAAACTCTATGTCCAGAATTATACATCAGCTGTGCCAGGCACCTGCCTGACCATTCGAAAGTGGCTTTTTACAACAGAAGAAGAAATCCTCTTAAATGACAATGACCTTGCTGTTACCTACTTCTTTCATCAGGTAGGTGAATTGATCTTCCTAAAAGGCTGGTTTCTTTTTCTGTTTGTATGTAGAGTAGTTGGTAATTTCCCAATTCATGGTGAATCCTTGGATAAGCCACTTTGCTTCTGGTTCTGAGTTAAATTTATCCCATTTCACAAAAGATAAATATGTTAGAAGTGAAGATGTCTTGAAATTCAAAGAATAGTTATTCTGATTTTTTTAAACGAGAAAAAATGAACATTATGACTGAATACCGGTTTGAAAATTTTTCATCAATATTATATATACGGTGTGTCTGGGGAAAACAAATTGTCTGTTTTCCTCCTGCTCTGTTACATAATCAACATAGAAGACTTCTGTGACCTCTAAAGATGTGGGAATTTCTCCTAATTGGCAAGCAAACAATTCTGCAGTGGACACCACCTAGCCATTATCAGATTTAATTCAACTCTGATACTATCAGTGGCAGCATCAGGCTCCACAATCGCTCAGGCCCCAAGACTACCACCACTTTATATCTGGTTACAATGCCAGGCCTCTAAAATTTTTGACCAACTGACCACAGGTTTTATTAATTTGCTAGAGCAACTCATAGAACTTAGGGAAACACTTTATTTAAATTTAATGGTTTGTTTTGAAGGATATTTTAAAGGATACAAATAAAAAATGCAGAGATGAATAGAGTCAGGCCTGAAGAGCAGGAGTGTCCACACCCAGGGTTAGGGTGCACCATTCTCCTGGCACATGGAGAGTTCTTGTTTGCCTTCTGTGAGCTCCACATGTTCTACAGTACAGAAACTCCAGGACCTTATCCTTGTGGGGTTTTTATGGAGACTGTTGCAGGGACATGATTCGAAGTGTAGACAACCATGTTGACTGTCAGACAATAAGGGTTTGGTCTAATGCTAACTAACACAGTGAGGGTAGCCAGCAAGATCTGTCTGTTAAAGTTCTTCTTGGCCTTTCTGTGCAACACTCCTTCATGAGCATGGGGAAGGACTGTTCTGAAATGTGGGTCTTATTAGAGGATGTCTTTATGGTTGTTCTAATACAGAAAGACAGGGGAAGATTAGTCTATTTTTAGTTTCTGCAACTTGCTTGTGGAAGAGAAATTGTTGTTTCTGTGGCCTGCCTTGTGTTTGTTCATGTAAGGGGCTTTCCTCTTAACACTTATCTGCTCGAGTTGAATATTGGGAAGCAGGGTAGCAGATCAGAAGTTCAGCTTGTGAGTATATCTTGTTGATTGTAAACTTCACTGCAGAGAAACTACAGCTTCACTCTTTAGCTGGCATTGAAGAGCATGTGGCTACAGGAAATAATGGAGAGAATCAGGTAATTTGTTTTTCAAATAGGCTTTCAGTCCTCTTTTTATCAGCCATAGCCACTACCTCTCCTAGATAATTCCTGAGTCCTTGGGGAATTTGTTGGAGAGATTCTCCACTTTCTCTATTACCAGGGTAGAAATTCATTTTTTTTCAGGTTTTCTACATTACTACTCCTATACATTATGTGCTCTAGATTACAATATTTTTATCTGATCCCCCCACTCTTGTGATCTTTTGGGATTATTCCTTTAAAAAAAATTCCTTGGGTTCAGCATGTAGTTCAGTGCTAGAGTAACTGCTTTCCTAACTTGCCTGTGGCCTTGGGTGTGATTTCCAGCAATGCATGCACACAAACATGCACTTACTCATCTTAATGAAATTTTAGGATGAAATAAGAGATACTTGTTTTGCATTTGCCATCCCTACCTGGAAGTCTTCTTTTGTGAAATATTCCTACAAGTATTTACACTTAATGTTTGACATTAGGTATTTGTATGGGTGTGTAATTTTTACAGTTATCCTAATGTAGATACAGATTTTCCTTTTTCACATATCTGCATTGCTCTTTTATATATCATTCATGACTGAATTAATGTACTATCTGTTAATTATTCCCTCATTACTTCAAGGCTATTTTTGAATATGTGATTATAAATAATGGTATAAACATTTTAAGCATCACTTTGTGTGTGTTTTATTTATTTATTTATTTATTTATTGCAGTGCTAGGGATTGAATTCAAAGTCCTCACAATATGTTAGGCAAACAGTCTACTGCCGAGCTACCTCCCTCTGCTGTTTTCCTTTTAAGAAGCTACTGTTGCTCATTTATTCATTCAGTGCAGTACTAGAAATTGAACCCAAGAAGGACTTCACACTTGCTAGGAAAGCACTCTACCACTGAGTTATATCTCCAGTCCTTCTGTTTTTTATTTTGAGACAGGATCACACTGTGTAGCTAAGTTTGGACTTGAATTTGCAATCCTACTGCCTCAGCCTTCTGACTGTTAAGATTATAGATTTAAAAATCTTGGTCATTTTTGCAGATATTTATTTATTTATTTACTTTTTTTTTTTTTTTTTTTTGTCTTTTTGAAATAGGGTCTCCCTATGCAGTTCAGGCTGGCCTTGAGCTCACTTTGTAGCCCAGGCTGGTCTCGAACTTGCAACGATCCTCCTACCTCAGCCTCCCGAGTGCTGGGAATACAGGCTTGTGCCACTATGCCCAGCTTTTGCAGATATTTAATCTATTCCATTAATTTCCCTTTTATATCTTACTATTACTTATTTTATTTTATTTCTTTGAGACAGGGTCTCATTATGTATTGCGGACTGACCTTAAACTTCTTTATGTAATTTTTGTAATTTCTGTTACTTAACTAATGAGTACATTTTCATTCCTCACTATTCAATATAAATATACTGCTTTTTTTGTAGTGCTAGGGACTAGATGCTATTCTTTTAAAATTCCTAATATTTTATTGTTTTTATTTTTGTTTTGTTTTGTTTTCTTCAGTTTTTAAAAGTTCAGTTTAGGGCTGGGGATATGGCTCAGTGACACAGCGCCTGCCTGGCAAGTACAAGGTCCTGAGTTCAATTCCTGGTACCAAAAAACAAAAAAACCTAAAATCCCAAAAGTTAAGTTTAATTTTTTTCTTTCCCAAGACAGGTTCTCACTATATTGCCCAGACCAGTCTCTAGTATTTTGTTTTTATATTTAATGCTTTGGAGGCCCAGTTGCAAGGAGGCAGGCAGGAGGCTGGGGTAGGGCGCAGGGCCCGGCCTTCCCTCCCTAGTCCTGTGAGCCCCCTGCTGCCCCAGCTGGTGCCCAGGGTGGGCCCCGCAGAAAGGCAGAGACAAGAAGCACGGGGTCCACAGAGGCCTGGATGGCTTGGCCAGATGATGTGGGCCCCTGTGCTTTTCCAGAGGAAAGGGACCCCCAGAGCAGCTGTGACCCCAGGCTGCCCCCGTGAGCTGTTGTGATGTCAGTCGTATGTACATCGGGCTGCCCTGAGTGAGTCTAGCTCCCTTAAATGCTCCTAGAATGTAGGGACTTAAGGAATTAGGCTTTTGCCACAGGGAGGGGCAAGGCCCTGCCTGTGCTTGTGAACTCAGTGCAAAGAAAAGACAGAGTGATGCTGTCAGAGCAAACCCAAAAGTCATCCCCGTTCCACTTGCAAGTCACAGTGCTCTAAGCCAGAGATCTGAAGCCAAAGGGCAAAGGCGGCACCAATGATACATACGCTATAATTTAGTTGGGCAAGGGAAAGTATCCCACCTCTATAGGTGAGAAAACCCTTGAGCCAATCTGGAAGGACGAGCTGCCTGGATTGCTAATGCAGGGGAATCCAGGGAAATACATTCTTTTCCTTATAGTTACACACAGATTGCTGGTAGGTCTGGATAAAATTTTAGGGCAGGTGGCAATCAATCTTGATGACACCTTTGAGGACAAATGAAGGAAAACAGCATAGTTCAGATTACAGTCTAAACAAGGAAAAAGAGTCAAAAACGGGTGCAATAAAGGTCAATATTCAGTTTATGAGGAACAGTATGACAGCAAGTATGTTTGACTTACCAGTAAAGGACAAAACAAGATCTGCAAAATTAAAAGATAAGATGAAAGGTAGAAAAAATGATTGGACATTTTCTGATACATCTTCTGCAATTATTCCAATTACTCACATGCTTGATACCAACACTGAATTTTCAAGTGGTGAAATACAGTTGAAATTCAAAGCAACAAAGCCTTTTCTTTTGGGTCCTCAGAGACTTTTCTGAACATTTATTGTCTGATTTAACTTGGTCCCACGAATCTTTGAGAAACTGAAGTCTGTTGCTATCAGTCAAACACATCTTCTTGGATGCCAGTTAGATTTTTTGGAGCAGTTCCAGAAAGTAAAAGTCTCAAGTCTCCACACAGAAGAACTTTAAGTTTTGATATTTCTAAAATGAACCAACCTGACAGCATTGTGGATGAAGGTAAATTGTCTTTTAGAAGACAAAATGACCTTTTACAAACGTGACTGCTTCATTACCCCCAAAATTTGCAACACTACCAAGAAAGAAAAATCCATCTGAAGCAAGCAGTGAATCATGGGACAGTAGTATGAATCTGTTTTCAAAATTAATTGAAGTAAGAAAATAAAAAAGAGAAGGGAGAAAGCCTGTTTGAGTGGGGAAAAAAAGCAGAAGGTCTGATAAACTGAACAGTGGGGTTCTAATAGTCCTTGTGACTTGAAATCGCCTAATGCTTTTAGTGAAAATCAGCAGCACTGTTTTGACTGAGTCAACAGGACTGTTTTGATTGAGTCAACAAAATTCAGAGCTTCAAATAGAATGCCATCTTCAAGGTAAGCTTAATATGGGGGAATTGGTGCTATTTGGGAAAATGTTGTACTTTAAAATAACACATACTCCTTTTAAATACATGGATATTTTAAATTTGTTTCATTTTACTTGAAAAAATTCTTACTTTTAAAATTACAGAGTCAAGCAGTGTTACAGATATCTTTTGAATTGAAATTTTTATCTTGGATAAGTAGAAGATTCTTATTTCTTAGAAAAAAATTTAATGCTTTAATGTAGCTGAATTTATTGTGGTATACAGTACAAATGGTTGGTCTAAATTAAGTTGTCTTGGTATTGCTATCCAGATTGCACAGCAGCATGTATTAAAGGATAGATCTTTACT